ACGGGTTTCCCCATTTTATAAGAAGAAAACATAAGGCATTCGGAGCTGACAGGCTTGTTCTGCTTACTCAGCAAGCAAGAGAGATAGCTCAGATGGCCTCATTTCCACCCATAGGCTCACAGTGCCCAGGTGGAACTCCAAGAGCACCAGACCAGCAGTGCCACTTCTAAGGCATTCTCTCTAATCTCACTCTCACTTCAGTCTCCTACCCCCAGGAACTGATGAAGAGCTCCCACACTACCCTTTCCCTCTTCTCTGCTGAAAGTTTGGCCCTTGGGAAGCAGGAGGTAAAAGGAGCAGGGCTGAGGATGGAAACAAGACTTTTGGTTCCTCCCTATATCATCCCGGGCCCTGGCCAGAGGGCAACCATTCTCATGCGATGGAAAGTGAGGTCTGCCCTGGTGATGATCAAAAAAATAAAAAAGTATGAAATACTGCAAACATTCAAAAAGTTATAGAGAATATATACTAACTATTCATGGATCTACCAAATGGCTTTGTCAAATTCAAACTTTAAGCCATACTTGCTTCAGGTCTTATCTTTAAGCAATAGTCAGAACTTCAATGAGACTGAACATCTTTGTATGGATTTTTGTCCCTATGGCTTTCGTTTCTGGAAAGTGTTGGATAAATGTTCTTTACAACTACCCCTCTGGATTTCTCATTTTAACCCTGCAAAAGCAACCAAACTAACAACACTATCTTTAGCTAGCTGGAATCAAAAGCTAGCTTCTAGTTTGAATAGGTATTTTTCTAACTGGGGTCCATGCAGAACAGTATCACAAAGCTTCTGCCCAAGTGCTGGTTTTTGAAGCCAGGGCACATAGATCACTTAGTCTACCTACATCATTCCATTATCATACATATCAAAGGTAGTCATAAAAGCAACTGAGGTGAGTTGTTCTTTAAAACACACAAAAAAGAACATACTAGGGTATATTGCACATATACTGAAATGCATGCATGTGAGTTATAATGTCCAAAGATATTTCTAACAGCAAGTGTGCTGAAAATTTTTTGGAAGTTTTGGTCCAAGTTGGCCTCCCTGGCTCCTTTCTTTCTCTTTTCTGAGCTGTCCCACAGGCTACTGCCAAATAATCTGAATAAATCATTTCTTTTGTTAAGCCACTTTCCTGTTCAAGAACCTTCAATTTCCCAAAGGCSAGGCTCAATTTCGATTTCTCAGCATGGCACTGAAAGCACTATAAATGTGCCCCAAGCTAAGAATGCCAATTCTCACCAATGAAGCCTTTGCTCAACCATTATTCACTGCACCCAAACTAGCCTCCTGACTGTCTGCGTCAAATACTCTCAATAYATCTCTCTGCACACACCTTTTCCATGCCATTCTGGTAGCCAGATCCCTCTCTCATTCGCCATGGAAACGGTATGTGTTTGATAAATCAGAGTCTAGTTAAAATTCTATCTCCCGCTTGAAGTCCTTCTTGTTGAAACCATGCTGACATTCAGTGATCAGATGTCCTTTCTTGGACTCCCTAGCACTTTGCAGACACTGGCTGAAGACAGGGTCTGACTCATAATCTTTCAAATGCCTCCCCAACACTTAACAGAGACCTCTGACTACTCTAAATGTTTAATAARCATTAAAATAGCAAATATTTGTTGAGAATCATCTATATGCATCACATTACACAGATGCTCCTCAACATATGATGGGATTACACCCTAATAAACCCACTGTTAAGATAAAAAGATCTTGAATGAGAAATGCATTTACTACACCTAACCTACAGAACATCCCACCTTAGCAACACAATCCTCAGTAGAATATCAGTTGTTTACCCTCAGGACTGCAGGGTGGATTGGGAGCTGCAGACCAAACCTGAGGAATACCCAAATTTAAGGGGCAAACTAGAGCCTGTATTCAGAAAGGGATTACATCTGCAGACAGACTCCATTCTTTTAACTCTGCCATTAGGACAGCAGACTGTGTGCTTGGGTTATCTATTTCATGCTACACAGAGAAAGGTTGATGGGCCACAGTGAGCAACCAAACCAGAACCYGAACACAGCACTCTACCTCCCAAACTTTTCTGTACTTCCTCTAATTTCCTTCTTTCTCAAACTACCAGACCCCTAGATATAGGAAGAGTTCCTCCTGTGTTCTTTCTTGTCATAAGATCATCTAGGTATATGGTTCCAGGGAAGGCTACTATTCCTGGAGACAGCTAAATTAGACTAAGATCATTACACTTAATTCTCTCACCATTCCATAATAAAGACAAACATACAAAAGTAGAGATAAGAGGAAGGGAGAGAGAGAGGAAGGAAAAGAGAAAAGGGGGGAGAGGGAGGGGAAAGCATTTGGCTTGGGGTCAAGATGTGAATCAGTGATCTAAGATGTGAATATCGAATGCTTTCTTCCTGGCAAGAGAGATCACTGAGTTGTCTTGCTGAAAGGCAAATGGGTAGATAATGCAGTAAGGCAGCAGGTACCCACTAAATAAACTGGGTGGGCGGGCTGCCTGCACAGAGGAAGCAGAGAACAAAACCTTCTCAATCTTCACGTAAAGTCCACAGTGTGCATAGGGCATCAATATTGGACATTTCTCACTGTGACATTTTGAAAGCCCAGCCTATAACAGAACAATGGTTACCCTTTGGGGACCATGGGCCATGTGCCCCTAGGCCTTATTTAACTATGGCTGGCATAGCCCATGTACTTGGTGAACTTGACCTTGGGCATCAGCCTCCCATGATGTCTCTACGTCACTCTGGTCTCTTCCCCTACTGAGAATTCCAGTCTCAGATGAATGGATGGATTCATTCTGGGAGCAGGAAAACCACTCTGGGAATGAATCAGAAGCACCCAGCCCTGGTCCCCTTGCCAGCCATTGAGCTAGGAACTGAGTGTAATTGTGTGCCCAGGCGCCGGTGCTGGTCCCCTCACATGGAGAGAGGGTCAGGGTCCACGCAAGATATGACGTCGGCACCCTCTAAGGAGGAAAAGAAAGGAATCTCAGCTTTGAGGGACAAAGCACCCTTTTGGTTGTGACCCTCAGTCCAAGGAGGTACCAAGATGTGCATATACTGGTAAATTAGTTCTACTTCACAAAAATCTCAGCTCCTGTTTGTTAGATAGCTGCCAATTTCAATTCTCTCCAACCTCATGGACTTTAGGAAATGGGGGGCCAGTTTTTCAGATTAGAAACTTTCTGCAAGACAAGAGGAAACAACTTGCCTCAGCTCACCCAGAGAATAATTTACCTTCAGTGGTCTCTGTTCTACTGTTCTTCCAATTAGAGAAGAAAAGATGAATTCAGTTTTTTAATTTGTAAGTGCCAATCAAAACAACATAAAGCATCTGACTTTCTGCTTCTTTCTTAAACAATCTGGCAAGAGAACTCCAAAGATTCAGGATGCAGAGGACAAGATAATACCTTATCATACTTATAAGGCTTAGGGGCACAAAGGATAACCATTGTTCTGGAGTAGGCTGGGCTTTCAGAATGTAACAGTGAGAAATTTCTATACATGATGTATACATATTGTACACTTTGTTCTATACATATTGTACACTTTGCATAAAGAGTGGTATATTACAAGGTTGGGAGACCCAGTCTAGCATTTTAAGAAAGAAATTTCTCTAAGGGAACTGAAGAAAGGGAACTTTGCCCATCCCTAGCCAGGTTATAACAAGAAAAGTTACCTTTTTAGGGTTCAGCCCCTGTTGGCCTCCTGTAGACAAAGATGGAGGGAAAAGGAGCAGCTCCAGCTGGGGCTTATCAGGGGATTTCTCCAGGCTTCCCTCTCTTGCTGCTGACTGTCTGACATTTGCCCATCAATCTTGGGCTAAGAAGCAGGTGGAGGAGGGGTCAGAAATGGTTTGAATATTATATTAGAGAGCTAGCCTGGACACTGATTGACATCAGCTGCTTGTGGCCAGGGGTCAGTCTCTGCTGATGGCAGAACATCAGAGGTCAAAATCCTTCCTGAAGGATAATCTACTATTTTCATTTATTCATAACAGATTATCATGCACTCACTTTGCACAAACAAGTTAGACTCTGAGCATGTTCCCTACGTTAGTGTGACTGGGTTTTAATTCATCTTGCACATTCTGGGGGTCAAATTATTCATACAAGTGCCTTAGAGGTGGATCTCCTGAGGTTCAGGTGTTGTGAATATACAGGTTCTGGGGCCTGATGGCAAGGTAAGAGCCCTCACAAGGCAGCTTCTAAGGAAGCTCCATGGTTGTCTCCTGGGGACGTAAATAATCCAGACCCAGTAACAGGGATTGCGAACTGAATCTTACAAAATAAATCAATCACTAAACATTATGAAGTGTCTACCATGACCCAAATATCACAGAACTCTGCGGCAACTGGAGTTGTGACTCCACTACTCTGAAGACTCCTTGGCATCTATTCTCATGGTTTCAGTTTCCTTAAGGTTCAAAGCCTCTATTTTAGAGGGAGAGTAGTGGGTCATGGCCCCAGAAAAGACTTAAACCTAGTCCAATCCCACACTGGGCGGGTGAATGTACATTGTCATCCTGGCCCCTTCCAAAGGAAATTCACTTTTGAAGACGGTAAAGTGGTGCAAAAACCAGTTATCTGAAGGCGAGTAGTTTTCGTTCACTAATCTGAGGCAGGCGGGCGGCGGTGGAGAGATGTTCTCGGGGGCCAAAGAAGACACCAACTCTACTTCAACAGATACTTAATGAAAGAGAGAACAAGGAAGTCCCTCACTCAAGGAGATGGGAGGAAACGGGTCCGGCTCCTTGGAAGAGACAGAGTAGGAAACAGGATCAGACGCGGGGTCCCAGGCTAAGGGCATCCTCCGGCCCGTATCCCTGGGAGTCCTGCGTAGAGCAGGCGGCTCTCCAGGAACGACCCCGGAGCTGGGGCTCTCGGGCCGGCTCTGGGGTGAGGGGTCGGTGCAGGAAGGGCGGGTGCCGGGACTCCGAAGTGACGCAGAGGCCAGACGCACGGCGGGCTGCGGCTCCAGCCATTCCCTGCCGCCCCGGCCTCACTCACCAGCTCATGGTCCCGAACCTGGGCCGCCCGCCGGGGTCCTCCGCCGCAACTCGGTCCTCTGGGATCACTTCCGGATTCAGACAGTCTCCAGGAAGTGACGCAATCACGCCCCCTCTGCCCGGAAGAGGCAGGCAGGAGGGCGGGGCCCGGCAGGTTAACCCTTTGGCCGCCGCGTGTTGGCCGCGGAGTTTCCCTTGCTGGCGACTCTCCTGCCCAGGCTTGGGATTTTGAGGCTCGGCCTGCCGCCGAGGCAGGAGGACCTCTGGAGGCGTTTTCAGCCGTCAACACCGACTCACAAAATTCTCTTCCGCTTCCCAATAAGGGTCCTTAACGGGCTCATCACCTGTCTTAAGGTTTCTAGTCCTGAGACTGGGGAGCAGTGTCCATGGGGGAAGGATCCATTGGAGACACAGTGTGAGGGAGAYTCAATTTGCCCTATACTCTTCCAGTTTTTAAATGTTATATTCCGCACATGCATTGCGTGTTACAACACATAGATCTTTCCCTCCTTCAGGATGGCCTAGGGCTCAAATGCAAATAGAATAGGTGCTTTGCGGGCTGAAACATTCTGTAGACCTACTCAACAAGACTCTGAGTAAGGATTGCTCCCAAGCTGCTGGTCCTTCCCTTTGGTGGTCTCCTCTACAGGACCCAATGATATGAATGGTCCCACTCTTTCTATGCCTTCATTTAATAAATATTAACTGAGCTCTTGCAATTTTGCAGGATCTTTCAAATCTTAAGGATACAGCCACACAAAAGAAGTTTTGATCCTGCCCTCTGCCCTCCCAGAGCTGCTTTCTTGCAGAAGGAAGTAAACAGGCAGTTACAGTAATAATACAGGAAGGGATATAACAAGACTAGGGCAGCCTGTAAGGGGACCCCTAAGTCTCACGTGGGGCAATAGTGAAGGTTTCCAGGAGGAACCATTGTGGAAACCAAGCTCTGAAGGTGGAATCAGGCCAGCTGAATCTGAGATGAGGGGTGTGGAGGGCACACAGAGGGAACTTGCCATGGCTAAGAAGAGGACTGAGGGCCAGTAAGCAATTGACTTGCCTCAGGTCTCCCAAAGTCAGACTTTAGGGCCTCAGTCCCTCATAAGCTGCCTGGGATTCTGGGATGAATTGTATTTCTCAACCCAAACAGCTCCCTCTCTAAGGAGAGAGAAGAGCTGGCAGTGATGTCCGTGCTGGCCCTCACAAAGACCTGCTTTCTGAAATTCTTCAAATGACCCTCAACTGTTTCATAAGCTGCCTGGGGAGCAACCAAGGCAGTGATCTAGACAATAAGAGATATATGATTTGTTCTGACATACTAGGGTGCAGTAGAGGGCTCAAGAGTGTGGGACATAGGGGCCAGTCGCTATTTTGTGTTTTCTGTTTCCACTCAAAAGGGTTCACAGTTTAATTCAAACAAGTTTTCTAGTGAAAGGTGGCTCCCCAAGCATATCACACAGATCAGCTTCATCACCGAGTTATTTTTCAGGAAATGGGCCAACATGAACACAAGAACAGCCTTGGAGAGAAAAGAAGTCCCCAAAGGGCAGCCTGGGTAGAGAGCATGGGTGGAGAATCGTCAGTCCTTGCAGCCTTGCAGAAGATTTAATGGATGGAAGGGGTGTTTTTGAGTCTCTGGTGCTTTAGCACCTGTGGATGGCTCCCCCACCTACATCCTCCCTTCTCCCATACTCTGTCTTCCTCAGGGATTCTGCAGTGATAAATATTTCCAAAAATGTTAGCCTGCCATATACCAAGGGAAGTCTGTTTCAGGGATGGGAGTGGAGGTAGCAGACACATCTTGTAGGATGAGAATGAATAGGTTCTGGACTAAAAGACTGGAGGATACCAAGGCTTTAGTTCCATATTTGACGACATGACTGACTTCAGACAAGATGTGACCTCAGTCACATCTCTCCTGGCCTTGGTCCCCTCCTCTATAAGTGAATGACAAGATAACATCACCAAAATCTCCCACATTCAAATTCTTAGTCCACTGTCACATTGACTCTACAGGCTTTTGGGAATAGGTGAATAGAGGAGGCCAGTGAGGCAGGTCCTTAACAGAGGGACAAGCCCAGAGAAGTTGTTGCGGAGATGAAGCTAGGTATGAATCTTATGGGAGGGAAGGAGTCACCTGAGGCCTGACTGGGACTGTGCTCAAACCTTTAATGTAGTCAGCAAGGAATAGTCAGGGCCCTGGCTCTGGTTCCAAATGGCTTGAGGGTGTCTGTTCCTTCCTTAGGGCTTCATCATCCTTGATCACAATGTAAAGGTTCCTGGTTCTATCTGGGATGGCAAATAGGTGTCATTCCATATGCTAACTTGGATCATTCATTGCTGCCTGCTTGGAGTGTTGTGTTGAGGATTCTAGAGAATCTACCATTGGCGGGAGAGTTCTGTGATTGATTAGTAATGTCTGTCTTGGACCAGTCGTGGACATGTGATGTATATATGTCATTTTTTAAAATGTTGTCATTATTTTAGCTGAGTTACTCGTTGAGCACGCATGACATACTGGGTAAGAAAGTAGTTCTCATTTAATTCTTACCACCCTATGAGGTAGGTACTACTATTATTATCATTTTACAGAGGCGAGGGCTAAAACATAGCCATGGCGTGGTGAAGCAAAAATTCCAACCATGTGTCCTGGCTCTGACCCTTGTGCTTTTCACCACTATGGTATCCCCCCCCTCCCCCGTTCCTTGGTTCCTGAGGTTCCTGCCTCTGACAATCGATGGCTCTATTGAGGCACAGCGAGGTCCCAAAGCACCAAGGAGATGGAGTCATAAGAAGCGTATGGACTGAAGGCCAGGTTGGCAGTACAGGACCAGGCACCTAAGAAGGAATTGACTGTTGCTCCGCCTCATCCTGGGAGCTTTTATATGCTTCCTCCCCTCTGGAAACCTGCGACCAGCAGATGGCAGTACCTGGCAGGGTTGGGAGCAAAGGGCAGCCCCTGGCTTGGCATGGCAGCCCTTTAGGGACCAGGCAGCCCAGATGTCAAGGAAAGCAAGAACAAATGAGGGTGTGGAGGAAGGATAGCCATGGGTCCAGAGGAGGAGGACTGACCTTAGACCTGCAGAAGCCTCATCGGCCAATGATTTAGTCCCACCCAGCAGTGGGAGCCTCTGGGCTTGCATCTCATGGAGCCTGCTGTAGCTTTTTTTTCCTCCATTCTGGGAGAATGACTAACTTTAAGGACTAAAAAAAAAAAAGTGTTTTGATTACACTGCCTTTTTACCAACTGGGAGCATTAGTCACCGTGGATTGCTGCAGATAACGGGGAAGGCAAGCAGCGTCCCCCTCCTCCCCCTCCTTCTCTCTGATTAGCTCACAGGCCCAGGGAGGAGACGAGTGAGAGAGAGTGTACCCAGGAGGGAAAACAGCCCCCACCCTGACRATGTATTCCCCAGGCATCAGGCCAAGGGCTGCTAGGGCCATGGAGCTGTTAGGTTGGGGCTGGGCAGCCCCCTCACAGTGGTCTCTGAGGTAGGCCCAGTCCAGTGGTAGAGGTGCTCACTAGAGAAAATTGGCAGAAGGGTCACTCAGCCAAGGCCCCTGAGGTCTGAGGTGGCTCTAGGTGCCCTGGTTGGAGCAGAATATACCCAGGAAGGGGACATGGGAGGAAGTCACTGTGATATGGGGATAGTGCTCAAGCCGTGGTGTGGCTAACAACTGCTGCCTTGGGCTGGGGCCCTCGGGGTTCTGACTGGGGTTGAGAAGTTGCTGGCAGGTGGACATGGTGCCCACATCCTATTCCCATACTTCCCCTCTGTCCCTGAGGGGCAGAGCCTCATACATTGAATGGCCTTCCTGCCCACAGGGGCCACTTTGCTCCCACCTTGGTGCTGGGGGGCCGAAGGGCTAAGGCACTCTTCCAGTCTGGCCTGTTGACCCAGGGTGCCAGCTCAGGGTCTTCTTGGGGACTCTGAAGCAGAGAGGGATAGAGCTGGACTGCTTCAGGAACAGGTTAACTATGTGAGTCCTGGCCCTTTGGCTCAGCTCCCAGTAGTGGTCCRCTCTGGAAAGGAGATGTTCATCTGAGTGGCCCTTCAAGTGGCAGGACCATGGATATTTATGTGAAGGATTTTGAGCATTAGGACAAATAATGTTTTTAGGACAAAAGATAGAAACACTATTTTACTTCTTCTCTAAGGAGCAGAATGGAAGTTTTGCTGGGCTTTGCTGATTTGCTTTTGAAAATAATGTTTGAAAAGAAAACATCCACAGGTGTTTGATGTTTTCTGGCCTCATAAAGCTTCCATAGCACTGCATTATAGCAAATAGGGTTGAAACAGTAGGAGCAGTTCTTCTGGAGGCCTATGAGGTGTCCCCCAGCCCCAGGGCTATAGCTGCTATAAAGTGTCCAGGCCCTGGGGTTGTCCCCTCAGCTCCAGAGTCTTTTTAGGCTTTGCTTTCCCTAGTATCTTATGGCTGGTATATGATGCTCCCCACCCCCACTGACTGCCTCTTGCAGTTCCCAATAGTCATAACTACCATTGTGGATGAAGCATGTTACACATGAACACAGATAATGTGTTCTTCTCAGCCACTTAGTGGGACAGCTCCTCAAATTATGTCCTTTTTACAGATGAGGAAACTGAGGCTGAACTAGCTGCCCAAGGCCATAGATTTGATCATGAGAAGCATGAATGTTTAAACCCAGGCTGTCTAAATTGCCTTGGAGTATAAAAGAAAGTAGCATAAAGTGGTGGCGGTACGGGGAGCTGGTATTTAAAAGTTTTGCTTCCTTAAGTCATGTCCTTAGTGCTTGCTGCTTCTCTGGAGAAGTATGATGAGGCTTGCTGGGCTAAAGGTCAAATCAAAGTCCCTCCTGCTTGGTGTCTGTACCACCCAGAGGTCAGCTTGCAGCCAGCAGGTTTCCCTATATGGGAAGTTAGTAGGTGGACTACATAGTTTGGGCTGATGGTGGAGGAATAGAGTAGGTTTGGGAATTTTGTCTCTTGGCTGGGATAAAATTCCAGCTAAATCCATAGGGTGTCCTGAGTGAGTACAGCTCCCTGGAGTGTGTGGCTTTCCTAGG